TGTGTGTGTGCACTTTGGATGGGATAAATGCAGAGCACTAATTCCGAGTATGGGTCACCATACTTGGTCACTTTCACTTTTTTCACTTTCACATTTCAGTTCAAACAACTTGTAAAAGTGCATGTAGCATCCGATGACCCCTTTAAAAAAAAAAAACGTAGCTACTGTAGTATTGTTTTAATAAAGCATATTAGGATGACTTGTGGTGCAGGAGATGTGCTATAAAGAAGATGATGTAAAGTTCAAAAGGAGACACATATTTTCCGAGTGATCTGAACAGACAGTAATATTGAACATACAGACGTGCACACAAAGTCATGCCAGCACTTCCCAAACTCACACACACCCGATGAGTCACACCTTCAGTGAACTCTTAACTCTGTGTGTGTGTGTGTGTGTGTGTGTGTGTGTGTGTGTGTTGGAAACAGTTGTGCTAATATGTTTTGGAAACTATGAACAGCATTTATTCAAAATAAAAATCTTTTGTAACAATATAAGTCTTTACTATCACTTATTATCAGTTTACTTGCTGAAGTATTAATTTCTTGAATGAATGAATGCTAGGCAATGTTGTGTTTGTGACATAAAAATATATATTTGTGAATATGCTTTTTTATTTGCAAACCTCATTCTATTTATTTGTGAATATGTTTCATTTTGTTAATCTCTTTACATTTAGCCTATTTGTGGATCATAATATATTTATTTGGAATAAATCAACAAAATGAACTTCAAAGTAATTCTAAGCATATAAGCAGTAGCGTTTACAAAACTGTGCAGTTGGAAATGAAATGTGATTTCTCTAAATAACAACTGTGATGTCAAATGTGACACAGAGGTTTGACTTAGAATCATCTTGCATCGTTTAATCTTGTGTTAAAGGGAGAGTTCATCCAAAAAATAAACTTTTGTCATCCTTTACTCACTCACAAGGTGTTCCAAACATAAATAAACAAATAAACGAATAAATGAACTATTGATTTAGGTTGGGAGTTAAGGGGCACAGATACACTTACAAGAATCCAAACATGTTAAACCTGTGTGTGTGTGTGTATATGTGGGTGGAAAACAGAAGCTGAATGCTATGGAATCATGGGATGGAGTGTTTTTAGCAAATAAACTCTGTTCGGGTTGCATGAGATAGAAGTGGATGCGCGAATCTGCTCAAAGATCTTCAAATAAACATGCAGAATTATGACATTAAAAAAGACAGTCTCAGATGAAATAAAATGAACAAACACATACATAAGTAAAAGTTTCATATACCTAAGCAAATTTCTAAATAAATAAAACAAAATAAAAATTCACTCACTCGTTCCTGCCCTGCGGTGTCCCAAATCAGAAACTTGTGAAGTTCATTTCCACAGGGGACAGTCTTAGTTAAAAAAGAAGCACTGAAAAACAGATTATATTATCATGATAAACATATGATTTGATGATAATAATAATAATAAATTCAATTTTGATAAAAAAAAAATATATACTATTCATTCATATATATTAAGACATTCATTTATTTTTTAAATAGTATACATGTATATAAACTGTGTAACAGTCTTCATTCAAGGAGGAAATTACATCACAGTGACCATGACTAAAATATGAAGAAAAAAAAGTTTAAGTGCAAATTGTGCAAAGCTAAAAATATTCTTTTGTCTAAGTGTAATGAGTAACCTAACCGAGAGAAATCAGCATGTGCTGATGTAAACAAAACTGAGAGGAAACAACTGAACTGACTCTGAATCAGCTGTTTAAAACTGTTGGTTTGACTCATGAAGGTATATTTAGACACACTCTTCCTCCTCTAGATGAGTTGACGGATGTGATTTCTTCACCTCACCAGATGCACCTACCCTATCGTTGGACTGATGTTGTGGTCAAAGTGATCTTGAACGAATCGACACACGATACTTGATTTCCCCACACCTGTGTCCTGTGATTATGAGAAAAACAAAAGCACTGAAACATCGTGAAATATCAAATATATGATCAATGTTTAAATGTCTTTCGCTGTATGACACATGACTTTAGACTATTATAGAACTAGATCAAATGATGTGGACATTAGGAATTTGAGATTTCATGTTTTTTTTTTCTGCAATATGTAATTTCTGAAGTATGCATACTGTACACTGTATGGAATAAAAACCTCTGTATGTATAAAATACCTGGATGACATACTTTTGCCATAACACACAGCATATGACTACAGCATGCTGTACAAAATACCATATCCACAAAGCACTTAACTTGACCTTCAGTTTCTAGTGAATAAGTGTTTTAAAGGGGTCATATGATGCGATTTAAATTTTTCCTTTCTCGTTGGAGTGTTACAAGCTCTTGGTGCATAAAGAAGATCTGTAGAGTTGCAAAGACTAAAGTCTCAAATCCAAAGAGATATTCTCTAAGTCAACCACACCTACCTAAAACGGCTCGTTCTAACACGCCCCCACATGTCTACTTCACGATGTGGGAAGATTTGCATAACACCGCCTAAATGTTCACGCAAAGAAAGAAGACGTAACTTTTAGTCTCACTGTAGTATTGTTGTTGCCGCCGCCATGTCGTGAAGACGCTGTGTGTTTCGTTGTGAAAGCGAAACTACTTTACACCAAATACACAAAATAATGTTATTTTTAGCAGCATCATATGACCCCTTTAAACTTTTGTATGCTGCATTGTTGTCATTTGGATTTATTACATCATGTTTGCTTTAATCACATTGGTTATCACCTTGGAATGCATTTTAAATCCAATTTTGCATAAAATGTCTTAACTTTAGGTTAATTTCAATCAATAAGACCTTTAAATCAGTTACAGGCTGTAACTCACAGCTACAGGTATTCCATGTAAAAGAAAATATGTGCACAGTATATAATAGTGCCGACACAGTCAGAGAGTAGTATGGTAGTATGCTCTTCTGTTCATAGCCAATGAATTGTTTTACGTTTTTTTTTTTAATTATATGCAACACGCAGTATATACTGCGCAATGTGAAGAGCTTAGTGCGCTAGAATTCCATCGCGAACACAGCCAGATTCCAGCCGGCGGTGACGTCATGGCCGCCAACATTCCTAAAGAATACATTTATGCGAAAAACACGTCCAGCTTAAGCTCCAGCTTTCTCATACAATACCCGACGATATTTGTATTACATGACTGAGAGAGGAACTTCGTAACGGTTAAAAAAAACTACTACGTGTTGTTGAGTATGAGAAAAGGAATCCGAAATAATCAGAGTTCCAGTTTGTATGTCGATGATCCTGAAGCCGCAGACGGAGGAATCTCAACACTCACCCCGAGCAGACAAACTTTCAGTTCCCTGATGGCCATTGTAAAGCACGTTAAGGCAGCTGAAACATTATTTTAACAGTCTCCAGTCTTGTTTTGTCGACTCTCATCCATCACAGTCACAGCGGACTGTTCATCCGTAAAAAACAAACTCTGACCATCTCCTTCCCAAATCTAACGGAAACCGACTGAGCTGTCACTCACATCACGTGATGACATAAGCCACGCCTCAAAGAGAGCGATTGTTCAAATAATAATATAAAAACAATAATAAAATTGAGAGTGAATTGAATAAATGTATGCCCTTTATTACTGTTATTTGCATATGATTTTATTTTTCATATTTTTAAAGTCTATCTATCTATCTATCTATCTATCTAATCTATCCATCTATCCATCCGTCTGTCTGTATACACCTACGTTTTTACTGGTATCTTTTACTGATCGATTTAAATTTCAATTGGATTAGAGATTAACTTTATTCAGAAATTTAATTTAATTTTGTTTTATTTATTTATTTATATAAGACAAATCCAATCATAAGGGGCACTTTTTTGACATTGAGATTTATACATCATCTGAAAGCTGAATAAATAAGCTTTCCATTGTTAGGATAGGACAATATTTGGCTGAGATACGACTATTTGAAAATCTGGAATCTGAGGGTGCAAAAAATAAAAATACTGAGAAAATCGCCTTTAAAGTTGCCCGAATGAAGTCCTTAGCAATGCATAGAACTTATCAAAAATGTAGTTTTGATATATTTACAGTAGGACATTTACATAATATCTTTATGGAACATGATCTTTACTTAATATCCTAATGATTTTTGGCATAAAAGAAAAATCAATAATTTGGACCCATACAATGTATTTTTGGCTATTGCTACAAATATACCCCAGCGACTTAAGACTGATTTTGTGCTCCAGGGTCACATTTTAACTTTATGGATTAATGCATAATTATGTGGATACTTTATAAAAACATAATTTACTAATATAATAAAAAAAAAAAAAAAACATAAATCCTAATATAACACGAATCATTGAATAAATAACATTAATATTTTGCTGTATTTTAATTCAATATCATTATTGTCATTATCATGCAAATTCATATGCAATAAAACAAGAAAATGAATGCTGTTTAAATCACAGTATGATTAGATGGTCTTAGATTTCAAGCTCTGGACTTTGTATCGAGAGGTTTTCTCTGCCTGGTAGCTTACACTGACTCGTCTGTCCTAGACCTGCAGTTGGAACCTAGACAGAGAAAGCCTTCACCTCTAAGCTTCTAGTGTTAAATTAGACCACATACATCTGTCTGTCCATAACTGTGGTAACACTAATCACAGCAGCATGATCTTCACCTTCAGCGCAGGAGCAACAGGCCATCCTTCATATTCTGTATTCCAGTCAAAAATCTTCAAACTTCAATTACTGTCCAACCTATCATTTTATTTTAGATGGCAGCATTCTGTTCGCAATGATCACGAGCTACAAAAGCTTTGTTTATAATATGAAAAACTATCATTTCCAAAAGTAGATGAGCAGGTATGTATCTCTTTGAAATAAGTTCTAACAGAGAGACATCAAGGGGGGGGGGGGGTTATACAGTATTTCTGAAATGCAACTTGACAGCATGACAAGAAAGAAGAAGAAAAAACAAACCAAAAGCAAAATGAGGGAGGAAATGTGTTATATCTGAAAGAGAATAATAATATACAATAATCCAGTAGTCCACTAGCATTCAACAAGCACTTTAGACAAAAATAATAATCATTACATAAAATGAAACTGACAGAATATTGGTAGTAAAAAAAGGAAAGAATTGGTGACAATCTAGTGCAAGTTTCCAAAATGACTATCGATCAAGTGTGTCAGAACATCTGTAACAACTGTGCCAAAACTTCAGGACCGGTTGGGTGGATCTCTAAAAAAAAAAAAGTTATGTTCATATTTCACCACAAATCGAAAGAAAAATAAGATATTCTGCAGAAAGAAAATGAAGCTTTCTTTCAAATATAAGCAACATTTTATTAATGCAATATCTCTTTTCTTTGATTCTGATCACCTACACTTATTAAAACCACCCTTAAACTTCATCATCGATCAGAAATATTCTTGTGCTTCATGAAATTTGTTTTAAAAAACATAGCGTGACATTACGGGAACGTACGGAAACTGACAAAAATGTTATCAACTCCACAACAAACGGCAATCAACTCATTCTCATTCTAGAAGTGCAGATCTGCGCGGTTTAGTGCAGTTACAGATTAGATGTTTATATATGATTATTAAATATTGAAATTTATAATCAACGTTCAAATCCGTCTCCTTTGAATATCTTAATAGGTAAAAATACAATCTAGTTGTATGACAATGTCCCAGAGCATCTTCAAAGTAATTCTTCCGTGCGGCTGCACAGTCACCTATGGCACAGTGAACACTTTCAGAAAACACACAACTTCATTTTCACTCAGTTTGATCTCTGTTCTAGACCTGGACCCACAATTGGAGAGCTGGCAGCCCATTATGAATTCTCATCCCCTTGCTTCTGCATTGGCATTTGGCAACAGACATCCAGGACATTTCTCAATGTACTCACTACTTTGGAATTTAATTATGAGCAGAACTGCATAAATAAAATGCATTTGTTCGTAATAACCAATAAAGTAAACCTGCTTGTCTGAAATGATTGTTTTTGCACAATGTAATGTGAACACAGAAGATATGGATGTTCGTCACCTGTGGTTTGGAGCTTTCACACAGGATGCAATTAAGTGAACATCCTATTAGTATTTCTTGAAATGCTTGAAGTACTGAATTTTAAGAAAACATGTCACATTTATATAAAAGCCCATTCACGCCATGAAATAAAAAAAAAGGAAATTGCAACTTTTTATCTTGAAACTTTATCTCTTGAGTTCATCTATCAAAATTCAAATTTTCCCCTCAGAATTATGAGATGAACTAGCAACTGAGATAAGAAGTCGCAACTACCTCTTATTTTTTTCTGTGGTGGAATGTGAAATGTAAACTCAAAATCCTGAGGAAAAAAAGTAAATTGCAAGAAAAGAATTGTCAGATGTAAACTCAGAATTGTGAGGAAAAAAGTCAGAATTCTGAATTCATATCTCAGAATTCTGACCTTTTTTGTCAAAATTGCGAAAAAACTAAATCCAAATTGGGAGATGCAATTACACTTTATTTTTGTTCCATGGAAACGGGCTTTCATACATTTTAACCCAAAATCGAAAAGAAAAATATGCTTGCATAAAGAAAATTAAACTTTTTTTTTAATTGTGACATTAATGACTATTAAGAACAATTTGCACTTAAAATACTATAATGTTTTAAATTTAAATCTGCATAAAAGCAGTACAACAAAAAAATACCATGATATATACTGTATAATGTAAATAATATATCAATATTTTTCCGTATTACCACATTTCCATCATGAGAATGACATTTTATTTGAATTAAGGTAATGGCAATTATGTAGAAAAGTGCTTAATAGTAATGTAAATAATGTTAGAAAATAAAAAAAAGAAAAAAAAAGAAAAAAAAAGAAATAAAAGAGGCTTAATTTTCTTAATGCAAAATATAATATAATATATCTATTTTTTCTTTTGATTTTGGAGTAAAAATTGACCTGGACAGATGAAATTCACTTTTTCTTTTAACAAACTTGGGATTTTTAAACACAAACCCTTAATACTCTTAACTATTTAGAAAAAAGAACGAATCTGAGCACACACACAAAGATCTGATTGTGCTGCTGAAATTTCACATACAAACTTAAACGTGTCAAAAGAATCCAATTTTACTCCATTGTGACGATGACCAATCAGAAATGTTTCCCATACTCGCCTCTCTTTAGACCTATTGACCTACAAATCACATCTCGCCTCCGTCCTCTGCTGTCCAATTTTCTCCCAGTGTAACGACCATCTCACTTCACCTTGCTGACCCTTGACCCAAGATGTCACAGTTACGTGATGAGCAAACACAAGCGCAGGTGTAGTGATGGTCAGATGGTTTACAGGTTGGCCTCCCTCTTGTCTTTGCTGGGCGATGGCTTCATGGCATCTTTTCCAGGCTTCCCATTGGCTGGGGCGGCAGCGGCTGCGGCAGTGGGTTCCATGGCGACCGCTGCGGCACGTTTGATTGGCTCGTCCGCTCTAGATCGTTCCTCTGGGCTGGGCTGGGAGGGCGGGGCCTGTTCGGAAGTGGGAGGGGATGTGAGCTCCTGCTGTAGCTTGTGAGTCTGAAGGAGGCGGAGCTGAACACGCAGTTCCAATATGGCCTCCTGTTCCTCATGGATGGCCTGATTCAGATGAGTGTTTTTATTCTGCAGTAAAACAAAACAAAGACAAAGATGAGACTGATGCATAGAATTCAATGAGTAGTTTAGGCCAAATGCTAAGAAGCAAATCATATAATTAAGTAATTAGACATTTACAGAAGCCAAGCAGGCTCTGCACATTAAAACTGGCTTAAAACATAATCAACTTTCCTTTTCTTTTGTGATGTATATCAGAATGAAAACAATATACTTCTTGAGTAAGACAAAAAAAGTAGGATGGCACTTGAATTTGTCCATCAAAAGCTTCTTGAATATGTTTACTTGAAATAAAATACATATATATATATATATATATATATATATATATAAAATTTTTAGCCAGAAGCCAATTCAACATTTCTCATTTTAACTTTAACTTTATGTACTAAAATAATTAAAACTGATCTAAAAATATATAAAAATTGGACATATTTACAAAAAAAAGTTTAATAAAAATTACAAAAACACAACAAAATTATTAAAACTTAAAACAAAAAAATCTTCAAACTTCAATTACTGTCCAACCTAAAACCTAAAATTCAAGATATTGGTGCAAAAAATACCCCTGTATGAGTTTTTGTCTCATATTTATATCGTAAGCGATATCAAACGAGCAGTGAGAGCAATAGGCTATCTTTGCTGTTTTTGTCACCGAGAACACGAGTGCAAATGTCATTTTATACAACAATTCAGTAAATAAGAAGTTAATATTGTGTTATATTTTAAAAATAATTTTGTGTGTTTTTGTTCAATTTTGCCAACGAAAATATTACCTATAAAAGACACAGCAGAATTGTTGTGCGTCTCCAAGCAACACGGTGTTTAGTTTCTGAAT